AATTTTTTTTTTTAATCAGCCAAAAATCCTATTTTAAGACTGAAAAAGACTGTTAACAAATGAGCAGGTATTCAGGTAGATGTACTAAGAGCAATGAAGTTAGGCTCCAGGGTCAGACTGAATTAGAAAGCTGAATATGGTCATCGCATCTTCAAAATTCAAACACCCGAACCCCTACCCTGCTCACTGTTCAGGTGTCACCTGCTATACTCACATTTATTGCCTCGAACGGCATAGGCAAGCTTCAGCTCTGGGTAAAATTTGCCCATCTGCTCAATCACGTTTCCTGTTTGAAGCGCCAGCTCGTATGTTGGGGAGAGGCACAGACACTGATGGAAAAGTCATCAAGCATGAGTTTAGGAGAGCCATTTGATAACAGGCCTGAAAGCACCCAGCCTGCTGATGTTATTAGCACTTGAATAACACAGGGAAGCAGGTCCTCCCACCCAGGCCCAGCTTTCAGCTGTAGACCAAAGCCTGCAGCAGGCGGCCCTGGTGTGGTGGAGACCTTTGGAAGCCAAGATCTAAGACTGCTGCTTCCGTGCATTCTCCCAGTATAGGAACGCTCTCTGCTTACGCCACAGCCTAAGGCACCAGAAGATTCAGATGGCACCGTGCTCCCCAGAGCAGTCAACCCAGGACACCCAGCCCCCACAAAGCCCTCACCTGGGGGTGTCTGTCTGCTGGCTCCACTCGGCTGAGCATGGCCAGGACAAAGGCAGCTGTTTTACCAGTGCCAGACTGAGATTGGGCAATCAGGTTCTGTGGGCTGGATCAAGGAAGAACAGAAATGAAGCTTATATTGGTGAAACTCAGTAACACATCAAAATGTTCTTTCTGAATGGAAGGCAAATTTCCCCCCAAAATTATTTTGATACATTTTTTATGTGCTGTTAAAAAGCTGCTTAAATCATAAAGGAAATGATTGTTTTAAATGGGCTTACACCAAGACATTCTCATTCTGGCCTCTAGTACAGCTAGGGTACAGTAGTTTTGCACCACAAGGGTCGCAGGAAAATCAAGTGTGCAGAGTACAATCTGTGCCCAGGCAAGTCCCCAGTGATATTTTTGGCTGAGCCCTGATGCATCCTCAGAAGTTGGCTGCTTCTGTGTGTGCCTTTCCCCAGCTTTATGGAGAAGATGCCAAGTCAGGTGGATGTTTTACATTCCACTTTATGGAACCCAGCATCATGGGAACAGGTGGCATGTTTGTCATTAAAAAAGATAAATAGGGCGGGGCACGTTGGTTCACGCCTGTAATCCCACCACTGTGGGAGTTTGAGGCGGGTGGAACACCTGAGGTCAGGAGTTTAAGACCAGCCTGGCCAACATGCTGAAACC